TCGGCGGGGTCGCAGCTGCCTCTGGAAGGCACCGAGATGTACCTTTTTCGCGCATGGTCAAAATCAAGGTTTTGTAACGCGAGCTGTGCCACAGTGAAATGGCCCTCCCTGACTCATCGAATCGCTACGTTCATTCTCAAAGCGCCCTCGCTTCCTCGGCGGCTGGGGCGCCTCGTCCTCTGGCTGTTCCTCTTCTACGTCCATCACTGTGAATTCGTCGTCTGTCTGGCTGCCATCGTTCGGATGGCCCGTTTCGGGTGGCTGCTCGCTCGGTCCTGGCTTTGCTGCGCGGTCGGGTGTCTCCTCGTCGTCGCTCCTTGCGCCATCGTCGCTGTCGTCGTTGTCTTGGCTGGTGGGGTGTTCCCTGGTTTCACCCCCGCTGTGCCCGAGAAGCAGCTCGAGCCTCAGTCGGTCCATGAACTGTTGGGCCGCGCGGCGGTTGTGGCGTCCTCGTCTTGGACTTCTCGTAGTACTCTGGCTGCCCTGGCTGTTCTGGCTCCCTTCGCTCTCGCCCCCCTGACTCTGCTGGCTGTACTGACTCTGTTGGCTGTACTGACTCTGGCTCCCCCCGCCCTCCGCCCCTTCCTCCGTTGCTGCGTCGGGGAGCTCGAAGAACTCATCGTCGATAAAGGCCATTTCGTCGTCCGCCGAGGCGTTCTCGTCTTTCTCGTCGTCTCCCTCGTCGTCGTACGTCTCACTCACTGGCGGCTCGCTCTCCATCGGGTTCGTCGTCCCGCCTTCGGGCGTTGGGCCGTGGACTGCCTTGTCGTGCTCTGCCGTGTTCCACGGCTCGACCCCAGCTCCCTGCGCCTCGCGCAAAGCCGATCGTGTCGTGGAGCGTGAGACTCATCCGCGCCATGGTCGCCGTCACGTCTGCGTTCATGGTCTTGGCTTCCCGCCACTCGAGTCGCACGGCGGCGTCGCCTTCGGCGCGCCACGCTCTGCCCTTGCCCTCGCAAGCAGACGCAAAGTCCGCCAGTGCATCCCTTCCGTCGGGTGGCATCGTTGTGTCGTACGACGTCTTAGGTGCGGTCGCGTCGCCCGAGGCGGCGACCTCGCTGTCTAGCTGCAATACTTGTTGAGAGGCGTCCCGCCGCAAAGCTCGTGGTGATATCGGGCCTCCGTGTCGCCACTCGGCGTCGGAGTCGGCGTATTGGATGGTTCTGTCGTCGGCGCCGTGCATGCCGAGGGCGCGTGCGCCGAGCCCCGTGGAGAAGTCGACGCTTCCTGCCCGAGCGAACAGGAGTGAGTTGTCTGTGCCCGAGATTCTTACGCTGTGAGAGAGCCTTGTATTTTAAAAATTTAATACCCTTTTGGGAAGGGGCCCCGCGGGTTCTTGGCAGAAGGGAGGGCCCCCACCCCTTT